AAACTCTTGTTCAGTTATGTTTATTTTGAGACTTGGGTTGTAGACCTATCCAGCTGTTTTGATGGTTGCTAGACACCGAGGTTTCATTCCCCAAGTTTATTTTAGGTAGTAAGTTTGTTAAAGTTTAGATCATTTCTTTGCCTGTGCAATCACCAAGTATGGTGATTGTGACGGTGACACCTCTTAATTATGAATAGTCAACTTATTATGCTTGTTAGTATTCCTTTTAAGTTAAGTATTTGTCATTAAGGTTTTAGAAAAGTGGGGTGTTACACAGTACACAGGGGAGGCAACATATGGAGTCGTGCTTCGTGCCCACGGCTCGTTCAAGGCCGCGACAAACGGCAAACTACCGGGCTGTTTCTCACCAGTTATAGCGGAGGCACTGACTTGCAAAGAAGTCTTATCTTGGCTTAAGGAACGAAACGTGTTAGATGTGGATCTCCTAATGGACTGCTCAGTGCTAAGGAATGCGATATGCTCGGAATCTACGGCTATCTTGTCCTACGTTGGGGTAGTTGTAGATCCATGTAGGATGACTATGTCTTTATTTACTTATTGCTCTATAAGTTTTGTTGCTATGGCACTTAATTTACATGCTCATACTTTAGCTTCGTTAACTTTTGATTAGGATCATTCTATGTATTGGTACTCGGTCCCTCCTGACTCTATTGTCTTATTCATCAACTAATAAATGACTTACGTTTGATATATATATATATATATAGCTATGTAATTAAGAAACTTTTATGAAGGTATAATGCAAATTATAATGTGATGGCATCCCGATTACCATTCTAAATGGATAGTCATCGGTTCAAACCCATGGTGGGGGCTTGGATTCATTAAGCTGAAAATGTTTAAGAGAGAGTATAGAACAGATGATACCTGGGGCTTGGATTCTTTGAGCTGAAAATGTTTAAGAGAGAGTATAGAACAGATAATACCTTGTAAAGAATGCATTGTGGTCCAGACATCAAATATGCACTACAGTTTCTTTTGACAATATACACTGAAATATATGAAATTGTTATTCAGTTTCATTTTGTATACACTACAGTTTCATTTCAACACAATTACAGTTTCATTTCAATTCAATTGCAATTTCATTTAATAATATAATAAAAATAATACGTGAGGACAATGTCAGTTTAGATAAACTATAGTGGGCTGTCGTTTTGAACTATGGTCCACAAAGCTTTATGGATCGCGGTCCACAGTATGATTGCTGGAAGGTATAATAGTCCATCCATGTTATATTTTCTTCCCAAGTCATGCGAAAAACAAAATACCACCCTTTTCCTCATAATTTGTTTTTTCTCAACTTTCAGGAACTCCACTTCTAATGAAAAATATTTTCCATCAAACCAAGCAACATAAAACAAAATTTTCCTCCACTCTTAGAAAAACATTTTCCATGAAAAATATTTTTTTTTGCGAACCATTCAACCAAACACCCCTTTAAAGAGTAATTTAAAAGTTTAAATCGAATACCACTAACCATTTAAAGGATTAAAGCCCTTAAATATTTGTAACTGTCATACAAATCTAGATTGAATACCCCTTAATTTGTTTCTTCATTATTGTGTTTTTAATTTTTAACTCTAATTAAAAATTCATAATATTTAATTATTGACAATAACAAATATATCATATTTAATTTTAAAATATCTTATTTTAAATTTTAATAGAAAACTTAAGTTACGTGTTTTAAATAATGGACATCGATATAATAAATTAAGAAAGTATACATAGACAAATATTACATTGTAAGTTGTAACAGAATCAATAGTACTAAAAAAAAAAAAGATATTAAATCTAATCAATTTTAAATTTGTAAATTAAAAATTCAAAATATAATAATATGGAGGCTGAAATTACAATTAACTCTTTTTAAATTAAAATTATTACTGTATTTTAACTTTTTTTTTTTTTTTTTTTTTTTTTTTGTTAATCTTTAAACGGAGAATGGTAGATCTCCTTCGCAAGATCCCTGAAGAAGAAAGCGAAGCTCTGCAGGCCGGGCCTCGAATAAGAGCTTCTTCTTCAAAAATTACATATTGTTATATGTATATATAGATAAATATACATACAAGCACAGATAATACTGAATCGCAAAGATGATGTCAAGCAATTACACTGCCATTGATAATCAAAATGTCTCCGGATCTGTTCCTGTAAGTTAATCTCTTTAATCTCTCACTTTCTTATTCTCAATAATAGCACCAGATCTAGTTATTCTGTGCAATTTTGCAGGCAGTAGCAGATCCTCCATCCCAAGTTTCTGTCAAATTCACTGGTAACGGAATTTGTTAATGTGCAAATTTGCTTCGTGTAGTTTATAATCTCTCCTCCTGTTATTTTTTTTGGGGGTGATCGGTTTCTGATAAATTGAAAGCATATTTGTTGGAATTGTTGCAGAGTCGAATCTTCAGACCTTTCCGCCTTCGACTTCACAGGGGAAAATCTCACGTAGCTCTGGGCCACCTCGTGATGCTGATGGTATGTCCTCTATAGTTATGTATCTAATTCGAGATTTCGTTTTGTTGCATTTCGAATTGGTGTCAAGGTGGAGAAGAATTTAGGCTGAGTTAGAAAAAAAAATGCAGTAAGCTTAATGTCTAGCTGGGATTTTGAGAAGATCGAGAATTAAGGTTTTGTGGATGATGAGTGATTCGTAGTCATGACTCATGTATACTACTAGTTGATTAGCCTGCACATATGATTTCACAACACTTCAAGTTGCTAAGTCTGTTTTAGGTCTTTGGGTTGACTGTGTGTTGAGTATTGAGGGCAATTTAGATGTTGGGGTTGCAGTAATTGGAACCTGGGTGTTTGATGACAAGACGGTGAGATGAATGCTGTTTGATCCCAGTTCAATTGATATATGCTGGTAGTAGGAGCCAATCTGTGGCAACGATATACTCGAGGTTCTTGGGTTATATTTGTTTCAAAACTTGAGGCTCAACTGGTAAATACCTGTGAGTTTCTTAGGTAACTTTCATCCTCACTTTGAAGGAGTGAGAGAATTTGAAAAAGTACTCTGCTTGCTGCAAAGCATGTGCTACAAAGGTTTGTCACTTTGACCTTCGGAAATCAAAAGGAAGTTTCTATTCTGTAGTTTTGTTCTGACTTGTTAGTTGTTACCCTGTTACCCTCTATTCTGACAGTTTGCAGAATTTTTTATTTGTTTGATTTGGGTGTTGGTTGGAACTTTTACCGGTGCTACATAAATGTCAAGTACTATAAGATGAGGGTTATGTGTAAGGTTGTGTTGGGGAAAAGGCAACTAAAAGACTCTGGGGAACTGTTATTTTTTCCTTATTTTCTCTCAAAGAAAATACATATAAAAAGATTAAAAGTTGTGTTAATTTATTCCATATTGAATTTTCTGTTGCTGCTTGTAAGAAATCATAATTTTGATTTATTGTTTTAGATACCTTCTCCAAACCAGCATCTGGTTCTGAAGTGCCCCAGCAGGAGCAGCAGCAGCCGAGTGGCTGGTTGGGTGTTTTCACCATTGCTGCTTACAAGCCCTATTTTGACGTCGACACATCTGATGTTTTAGACAGAATAAAAGATTCACTCTTTCCTTTCAGCGGAGCCTTTACTGAGAAGACTTCTAGTAGCCCAGATTTGTATGTTGCCTTACTTTTTCATTTATGTATATTTTGTCAATTTCTCAAGTTATTCAGTATGTTTGCATCCTTGGTTTGTTTAGTTCTGCCTCTAACTCACATTCATAAATTGATATTATGGTGTTGAAAGATTGTTTTAAAACTTTTGAGCCAAAATTCTCAGTTGTGTTTCAATGAAATGCTCATGACTTTGACACTCTGTTTAGTTCAGATTAAATTCAGTATTTTGTGCTATTTCTGACTACATTTGACATCTAAGTCATCCGATAATCCGATATAGTTGACCATGCTCCCTCAGTTGCTTCAATTGATACTGGAGTATTAGTCTTTTGCTCTTTTTTTCAAGTAGCATCCACTATGTCTTTATACACTAATAGATGAAAAGATCTGAGAGATGTCTTTATAATGTTCTATATGTCTTTTATCTGAAAGTAATCTGTATTAGTGTTAAAAACTTGAATACATCTAATTTTAGAATAAAATGCTCACTGTTACATGCGTTCATGAAGCAGTTTATAGAATCCAATGATCTATATTAACTGATGACCTGATTTTTATACATCGCCAGGTTTTTGTTGTTTATTGAATCTTTATTTTCATGCACTTCTGTCACTGTGTTCATATGGACAGAGTTGTAAACACTTGGAAAATGTCTTTTCATGAAATTCATATGCTCAAAATAGCCTTCAATCTTAAGTGGTTGTTTATTAAAAAGCATATAGTGCCCACCCCAATATTGTATTTTTTTTCTCTTGCAGGTATGGACCATTCTGGATATGCACTACCTTGATATTTGTGGCAGCTTCCATTGGCACGTTTGTTACATATCTATCCCACAAGCTTCAGGACAAAGAATGGGAGTATGACATCAATCTGATGACTTGGTCTGCAGGCTTATTCTATGGATATGTACTGATAGTCCCTCTCTGCTTATATGTAATTCTCAAGTACTTCTCTGCTCCAGCTGGCATTGTTCAACTGTTCTGTCTTTATGGATATTCCCTGTTCATCTTCATCCCTGCATTGGTAAGTGTTTGATATTCAAGTTCTTTTACATTCCATTGGGACATAGGATAGGTTCTTGTGAATCTAATCTATTAGGGTTGACATTTTCTTGTTCCAAATGGTCTCTGAAGGCTTAAGCTTGCGAGTTACAAGTGACTGTCTGACTCCTTTTATGGGGCATTTGGTTGGAACTTGGAAGGAGGGAATTAGGGGGGAAGGAATTGTAATTCTATGAGAAAAGATGGTGGGAATTCAAATTCCATTGTTTGGTAGACATGAATAGAATTGTTGGGAATTGAAAGGGAAGAAGTGAATAAAGACTAAAATGCCCTTGTATAATAATAATGATAATAATAATAATAAAAGGGCAAAACTGTATTTTTTTGTGGAATTGCAATTCATCGGGGGACCCTATGTATTACAATTCCATGGTTGGAGGGATTGCAATCCCCTCCAACCAAATTATGGAATAGAAATTCCATGGAATTTGGTAGGAATGTAATTGCAATTCCATCCTACCAAACACCCCAGTTTATCACAAACAGGAACAAATCATAACTATTGGTCTGTATTTATCAGTGATTTTTAAATTACCTTGCAGCCAGTTGGCAAATATAGGGGTTACCAAACACAAGCATTGGTGTCTTTAAGGATTATCGTAATTAAGAACCATGAGATTATATTACTTGATGACATCTGACGTCCATCTTGTTTTGCTGTAGTGCCTCTCTGTTGTCCCTTTCGAAATTTTCAGATGGGTGATTGCTGGTGTAGCAGGGTTCATGTCCGCCACCTTCGTCGCACTTAATCTCAAGACCCACATCACCTCTTCCGGTGAGAGGTGGTTCTTGATTGTAGTTGGTATCTTTCTGTTGCAGCTTGCTCTTGCTTTGGTGCTAAAGCTCTACTTGTTCACCGTCACAGTATAACTCACTCTAAGAACTGTAGTTTAAAAGACACACATGAATGTATCAAACTCGAACTGTAATTCGTCGTTAAGACAATTGTATTGATTCAATTTTGGTATTGCACAATAATATTCATTTAGCAGAAACTTGTGTTTCTGGGTCATTCACACCATGTAAATTTTGGTTTTGTTTAAGTTTACTGTATCTTTCGCTAGCAGGAACTAGGAAGTTGATGATAAGGTAACTGCCTGAGTTATAAGTTTTGGCAATATCTTAGCCCATTAATCTAAAATAACTTAGGATAATCTCTTTGACCATTTTATAAGTTTCTTATTTATTTTTCATTAAATTAAATTAATTCTTTTGTTTAATTTTAAAATTTATCTTTTGTGTTTAATAATGTCGTTCATATAGGTTGTAAATATATAAAGAGTAATTTTTGTTGTCCTAATACTAAATTAAACTATGAAAGAGATATGACGAAAATATTATTAATATGTTGCAAGGCCTTGTTTATGAGCGTGTTAACATGTCTATCTTTTCTCTTAGCATGTTATAAATTGCATATTTTGTCATTTTTATATTTCACCAAATTAAGCAAGATACTAGCAAAATCATTATAAATATGATATTGAAAATAAGTGAAATTAAACACTTATAAAACACCTAACATTTTAACATTTGCTTGTCCGCAAGCAAACCCTAAAATAAGTGACAATTTCGACCAAAATAATATAGCTCAAGGAAATAATAAAAGAAGAAATCACTTCCATAGATGACACGATTTCACTTAGCTTGTTCAACAAGCCCTTTAAACCCTTAGGTTTCCCTTAGTGGACGAGTGAGGTCTCGTGAGGATTTGTAGAAGAAATACACAAAATAAAAATCTTCAAAAATCCTAACCAAGGAGCAACGCAAGTATTAGTTTGCAAATTGACTCCCAAACCATAGACATTCATAAACAAGGCATTAATTGATAAGTCCCTTCTATATAAAACTGGATAACAAACTTTATCATTCAGATATCATTTGTCCACAAGCAAAACTTATATGGACCTTGGTGCACAATGTAAACTATAACCATTCAAGGTAATTAGAATCCAAATTAGTTGCATTAGAGTCCCTCACTTGCTGGCCTAGCTTTTGGTTCATTTAAGAATTTCAAGACTTTTTTTTTTTTTTTTTTTTTTTTTTTTTTTTTTTTTTTTTTTAATGTAAATAGTTGCTGGCCACTTGTGGATATGTCAACGCTCAGTTATTCAATATGACATACCTTTAATATACTTGCCCTATCATTAGTGTGTTAAGCAAGCTCATATTCTTGATAATCGTAATAAAGACTATTGTTTTTCATTTGATCAAGAGCAACAGAGATTTTTTTTTTTGTTTTTTTTTTGTTTTTTTTTTTTTTAATGCAAGAAGTTCTAGGTACTCAAGTTGAGTGTATTGAGTTCATTTGTTGTTGTTGTTGTTGAATGATTGCAACAAGAAAAGGATAGGACATTGACTTCAAAAAAAAAGGATAGGACATTCATTCAAGATCTAATTAATTATATATATGAAAGAGACTAAACCAAAAAATGCTCTTATGCATAAGGTGTCAAAATGACTAACATGCGCCATTCAAGGAAAAGATTAATGAGATCAAAAATAAGAATAAACTAAACGTACGTACACCAAGCTAAAGGCACACAAAAAGATAGTAACAATTATAAACCAGCATGCACTAGAATGTAATCAACCCTGAATAACCCACACTTAAAGAAGTACATTATATTGCCCTCAATGTACAAAAATAAAATAAAGCACAGTGAGTAAAAGAAAAGGGTTAATGCCACTTTCCTTTGATATATCGCAGCTGGTACGAAGTCTTCAAGCATGCATATATAGTGTAGCTAAATCAACAACAATCTTCCAAAAGGTTGAACCCTAAACCTAATTAAGGGCTCCCTACACCCCGACGCGACAGAGCATCTGGGAGGATGTAAAATCATGCACAAGGAGTCCCCCTCACTTTGAGAAGTTGCTGCCATACTACTGCGGGTGAGACTCGATCCCTGTTCATTCTTCCCAAACTTTACCCCTATGACCAACTATTATTATTATTATTATTGTTATTATTATTGTTATTATTGTTATTATTATTATTATTATTATTATTATTATTATTATTATTATTATTATTATTATTATTATTATTATTATTATTATTATTATTATTATTATTATTATTATTCACGCATGAGCGAGACATTCAACGTCACCTCAGCGGAAACATCCGCCAAGGCTTTGTACTCAGCTTCAGTAGATGATCTAGCCACAGTCCGTTGCTTTCTGGATAGCCAAGAAACCAGATTGCTACATAGAAAGACGGCATACCCACTGGTGCTCTTTCTGTCTACCAGGCATCCTGCCCAGTCGGAGTCGGAGAAGGCATGGATAGCGGTAGTGGAGGAGGCCCTCAGGCTCAAGCCGTAGTCGAGAGTGCCCTTTATGTAGCGTAGCACGCGTTTAACCAAACCCCAGTGATCAGTAGTCGGTGAGTGCATGAACTGGCATAAGCGGTTGACAGCATAGGAGAGGTCTGGCCGCGTGATCGTCAGATACTGCAGGGCCCCAACAATGCGGCGGTATTGCATCGGATTCTCATAGGGTGTCGCAGTCGGAGTGACTGGCTGTGTGACGGCCACGAGTGTGCTTAGTGGCTTGCAATCTACCATGCCAGACTAATTTAGTAGGTCAGTCATATAGCGCCGTTGTGAAAGTATGTAGCCATCGTCTGTCGGAATGGTCTCAATGCCCAAGAAGAATCCCGATTTGCCAAGGTCCCGGATTTTGAATGTGGAAGACAGGCGGTCGAGCAAAGTTGTAATCAAAGTGGCGTCGTTTCCCAACATAATAATATCGTTGACATAGACAAACAGAAATACTCGAGAAGACCCTGCGGTATAATGAAACAGTGAGACATCCGTCTTAGATGATGTGAAACCTGCAAGTAGTAGAAATTCATGAAGCATTTTAAACCAGGCCCGCGGGGCATGTTTTAGGCCATAGAGAGAGCGTTGCAGATGACAGACGTGGTCAGGATGGGTTGGATGTTCGTATCCCGGTGGTTGCTTCATATAGACTGTCTCTGCTAGGTAGCCATTTAGAAATGCATTGTGTACGTCTAACTGACGTAGAGTCCAGCTGTGAGAGGCTGCAAGAGAAAAGAGCAACCGTACCGTAGTCGGTTTTACAACCGGACTGAAGGTGTCAAAGAAATCCTCGCCTGCTACCTGGTTGAAGCTTTTGGCAACCAGACGGGTTTTATAGCGTTCAACTGAACCATCAGCGGTCCGCTTGGTGCGGAACACCCATTTGCACCCAATGATATTCATGTGCGATTCAGGAGGAACAAGCCGCCAAGTGCTGTTGTGAATGAGTGCATTGAACTCCTGGTCCATTGCTTCACGCTATTGCGGGTGCCCTACAGCCTGGGAGTAACAAGTTGGATAAGTGGTTGCAATTAGGGCATGAAATTGTTCGTTTGTGCCTCGATTCATGTGACAGAGGCGCATGACGTGACCTCGGTCTTGTGGTTGACCACGGGTTGTCACACGGCGATCTGCAACAGGTGCGGGACCTTCGATAGCCAGAGGGGCGGGGTCACGCGTGAGCGGAGTGGGCTCGGACCCAGTGTTGACTGGGCCGTGACGTGGCAAAGTGTCCGCCAGCGTTGGCCGTGGTATTATGGGCCCGGAAGCCCACGGTAGGCGTGGCGTGTCGGGTTCCGTTTGTCTAGCGGTAAACGGAAAAACTGTCTCGTCGAACCGGACATGACGACAGATGTAGGTTTTCTCACTTGTCAAATCCATGCATCTATATCCCCTAAAGGGCGGAGGGTAACCTAGGAAGACACACGGGGCCGAGCGATACTCTATCTTGTGCCGATTGTATGGCCAAAGATAGGGGTAACACCGGCACCCAAAGACACGTAGAAAGGTGTATGGCAGTGGGTGTTTGTATAGACGGGAGTAAGGACTCTCAAAGTTTAGCACCAGAGTTGGTAGATAATTAATTAGGCACGTAGCGGTTTCAAAGGCATAGTACCAATATTGTAAGGGTACTGAGCCTTCGGCAAGCAGAGCGAGGCCGGTTTCAACGATATGTCTGTTCCAGCGTTCAACTCTGTCATTTTGCTCGTGTGTATAAGCACATGACTGATGGTGGTTAATACCCTTTGTTTGGAATACGTAATTTTCGGTACTCACCCCCTAAATCCGACTGAATGGACTTGATAGAACGCGAAAATTGGCGCTCTACCAACACACGAAACGACTCGAATATTTTATATATGTCCGATTTCACCGGTAATGGGTAAAACCAGCAGAAACGCGAGTAGTCATCTACAAATAGCAGAAAATAACGATACCCTAGATATTAGTAAAAATCAAATCTAGAACATTATTGCTAGAATTTTCTATACTATCTAATTTAAAACGTGACGACTTGCCAAGGTGACAAGCCGTGCATGACATTGAGGCGTTGGCTTTATTTGGTAGAACTGGACAACTCTAAAGGACACAACGTTGGACAACACTGTGCGGGTGACCTAGCCTGCGGTGCCACACATCTGGAGTGGTGCGGGAACTGACATACGCAACAAGACTTCGGGTGACCGGAAGCTTGTACAATCCCCTAAATGTTGGCCCCTTAAGAAAAATTGCCCTGGTTTTGGAATCCTTCACAATAAAACAATCGTTATGAAACTCGAAATAAACATCATTTTCATTAGTGAATGTATTTACGGATAACAGGGGTACGGATAGATACGAGACATATAAGACATTGGACAAAGATAATGATTTTGACACAGATGGGATCTACGCATGACCGACTCGTGAAATAGTCAAACCTGCGCCATTACCGACTCGCAGCACATCGGGGCTAGTGTACTCATTGGAGTGAGTCAGCATTCCGGCGTCGGGGGTCGCATGCGTTGTTGTGCCGGTGTCCGGATACCAGCCGTCTACCTGAGCTGCCAGAGCCGCCGCTGGGATGTCGCCGGAAGTGGCCACATGAGCCTGAGCCGGAGGTTGGGTTGTATAGCGTTTGTAGCAGTAGACCGTCGTGTGTCCTTGCGACCGGCATATCTGGCATCTTGGCGCTCCACGGCCGTAGCGCCCACCACAGTGATTCTGGCCGGAACGGCCGCCGCGGCTTCCACCCCAGTGGTTCGAACCGCGACCTCGACCGCCTTCCCCATTCGATGTAAGCCCGCCGTTCGACGTCCGACTTGCATACAGGGCGGTGTGAGAGGCACCGCTTCCACCGAACACTAGAAGTAGTATTCAAAACAAGAAATTTACGTTTCATACCGTTTGCGTTGCCCATCGCGGGGTAATCATTTGAGACGATGAACTCCTGAGCTTGGAGAAAATCGGCCAACGGACCGTTATATATATATATATATATATATATATATATATATATATATATATATATATATATATATATATATATATATATATATATATATATATATATATCGGATATATATCAAATAATATTTTATATATTTTCGTGTGTATATATAAATATTATTTTGCGATATTAAATCGACTTTGGTTCATTATCTCCAATAGGCCAGAGTTGTGTGCGTGAGTGAAATGACTAACCTTAGAGCATCCATAGTAGTGAAAATATTTTGTGGTTTTTGAAGAGTTTTTGTAAGTGTGATTAGAAAAGAGAATATGGAAAAGAGAGAGAAAAAGGGAAAAATAAAATAAAAGAAAACTGATTTTTTTAAAATAATAATAATAATAATAATAATAATAATAATAATAAAATAAAGAAAGTTAGGCGCGCGTGATGCACCACGAGGCGCGTGCAGTGGGCGTGTGCTGTGCGCCCAACGCGCACAGCAGGCTCTCTCTCTTCATTTACTTCCTTGGGAAGAGAAATAACCTCTTCCTCCTGCAAAGAGCTGCTCCTCTCTCTCTTGTATCTCTCTTTGCCATGTTGACACTCTACCCTAAAAAACCGTAAATAAACTTCAAAAGATTTGCTGATATTGATGCTCTTATATAGTTTCTATAAGAGCATCCGTATCAGAGGTTATTTAGGGTTTTTTTTAATAGTATTTTCTGATATGGATGAGAGAGAACACATGAGAGAGAAAAATGGGGTTCATCTGCAAAAGAGTTATTTGTGGGCTCAACTTAGAGAGAGAAAAAAAATTTTAAAAAGGAGTTGTGCGCGTTTCGCGCACAGCTGAAGCTCACACGGGCGCGTGCATTGCACACACTCGGTAGGGCGTCAGGCGCACCTTACAGTCCCTTTTCATATTGTTTTTTTTTTTAATAAGTTTTGTTGTCCGGATATATAAAGCTAGATACTTCCCTCATGGGGACTTTTTGGACAAGAAGATTGGTGCGAACCCATCTTATTGCTGGAGATCGATTTGGCAGGACAAGAACGGTTGCGTAAAGGTTGTGTTCGAAGAATTGACGATGGTGTTTCAACGCTTATTTGGCACATCCTTGGCTGCCTGATACGGTGAACCCATATGTAATAATGCCATGCATAGATGGAAATCGGGAAATGAGGGCTTGCGACCTAATTAATCAAAACTCGTTGGATTGAGATCCTGGTATTTTGAAACATTATTTCCAACCCCGTGACATTGATCTTATACTGAAAATTCCGGTCTCCACTCAGTTTGAGGATGTTTGGTGCTGGAAGGGTGACACGAGAGGCCATTATTCGGTGAAACATGGATACAGGTTGCTAAACTCCACGGATGTTATTATGCAACAACCTTTTACTGGATGGAGCAAGTTATGGGGCTTAAAGGTTCCACCAAAGGTCCTGAATTTTCCGTGGCGCGGGTGTTCTTCCAACAATGGTAGCTTTGTCTTCCCGGAGAGTGGATGTGAGTTTCTTATGCTACCTTTGCGGTAAGTGTCCGGAGTCTGCATTGCATTTGTTCTTTGAGTGTGAACACGTTAAACCATTATGGTCCTGAATTAGAGGCTGATTCTGAGCTTGGGCCCCAAGCCTCCAAATGCCTAGACCAAGACCAGTCCGATACAAGGCGATCCCAGTCCATGCCCAGTTTTTTCAATCGTTATGCTTTGGACCCGTGTCCAGCAACAGTGCCGTTAGGCACTGTTATTTATTTTATTTTATTTTTTAATTTCAGATTCATTATAAGAGTATATGTTCATAATTTTATTACTATATGTTCATAATTGTAAGTTCATAATGTCAGAGCTCTATGTTCATAATTCAATAATTGTACATTCATACTTCCATAACTGTATATTCATAATTCCGTTAACTGTGCATTCATAATTCAATAACTGTAACTTCATAATTTTCGAAGCTCTATGTTCACAATTTTAGAGCTCTATGTTCATAATTTTATCACTATATGTTCATATTGTAAGTTCATAATGTCAGAGCTCTGTATATTCATAATTCCATAACTGTACATTCATAATTACATAACTGTACATTCATAATTCCGTAACTGTACATTCATAATTCAATAACTGTAAAATCATAATTTTCGAAGCTCCATGTTCACACTTTTAGAGCTCTATATTCATAATTTTATCACTATATGTTCATAATTGTAAGTTAATAATTTCATAATTCTGTGTTTATAATTTTATAACTTACATTCATAATGTCATAATTGTACATTCATAATGCCATAATTGTACATTCATAATCCCATAACTGTATTCATAATGACACAAATGAATAACGCCGTTAACGGCGAGACAAAATCAAAAAGAAAAAATTTTAACTGGAATGACGCGTTTTTCTTAAAAACGACGTCGTTTTGGACTCGTGTCCACAATGCATTGTGGACACGGGTCCAGGGCATAATTAGCCCAGTTTTTTGGCAAATTATATCATGCACCAGGACGCATAATGCATTGTGCGTCCTGATCAAAACGACATCGTTTTGTATCTGTTCTTTTTTTTTTTTTTTTTAGAAATTTCATTTTCTATTTCTGCCGTTAACTTCTATATAATAAAATAAAATAAAATAAAATAAAAAATCTTATGTTTCGAATGTACATAATTGTATAATAGAATACACATAAACTCATAACATAATACATATAATCTAACATAATACACATAAACTCTTAATATAAAAACGACGTCGTTTTGGGCTGGGCGCACATTGCATTGTGCACCCCTGGTGCATGATATGACGATCCCTGTTTTTTAGGCTGATTCAAGACTAGTTTGGTTCTAAACCGGCCCATGGTCTCCACTACCCCGAGGTGATCAAAGTCTAACTTGAAGGAGAGATAAAAGCAAAATGTAATTTGGATTAAGTTCAAAAGTAGCTACAAGAAATGACTTTGCTTCAAAACGCTAAAGCAATCAACAAAAGCCCTAACCACAACATCAAGTAGAACAGTAGTAAATGCATCTGCAACTTTTTCTTTTTTTTTTTTGGAACCAATCCATGCCATGCAACGACAGCTTCTTTAATTGCATTAGTGTCTAAGGTGGGGGTTGGACCACAAGTGGCATTTTTAGCTAAGAGTTTAAATAGTCAAGCTGTCCAGTGATGACATTTGACAACATTTATGGCATTTGCAGTCAATAAAAAGCATGTTGGAAGGCCACCGACAATCAACACACTAATTGGAATCTGCTGCCCATCAAAACAAATAAAATTAAAATCTAGCATTATATTCCAGTTCTCATTTCTCAACACACTAGTTGCACAAAATTAGTGTGTCATTCAACATATAAAATTGTTAGAAGTAATCAATTCTGTTAGAGGATATAATCCTAATGGGTGAGAGACTGTCAGAGCTATTCTCTATTTCTCTAACAACTTTCATTCAGATGAATGGCTGTAGCTCCTTAGAACTGTGTGTGAGATATAGCATTTAGTTCATGGACCAAGAATTTGAAATAGACAACACAAAAGCTTCTTCCTTCCAATATGGAACCAACATCACATTAACACCAAAATTGGTGAATGGCAATTATTATTCCAATGACTTAGCTTTCTAAGTTGGACTTAATCAAGAATTGCTCATCTAATTATTAGTGATTTAGTGGTATTAGTTTTAGTTTTATATGGAGTAACTTTTACTGTTCAAAAGAGACAAGTTGGTCAATGCATAATCACTTTTTTGCTTCATAAGGGCATATATTTTATTGCTGCATTAGTGCATTTTTTTTTATCTTGCTAGCTAGTCAGTCTATACTTAACTCAGCCCAAGCAAATACCCTTCAATTCTAATGCCTCTTTTGGTTGGAAAAACCCAATCAAGTGATTGTGGACAAGTCTTTCTTCATTTTATTACTTTCACAATGAGTAGAACTACAAGAAAGAAAGAGTAATTTTTACTAGTATGGTCTGATGGCTATTCTTCACTATCCACCAGGATATAGGATTCATCTTAGCTAGCGTTGTTGGAGTGATGGGCTAAAGTTTCTCGGTAGTGATTTATAGAGAATTAGTGCAGGTTGAATCAAATTCTCAGTAGGAATCAGATGGCAAATGGATGGTTTTTCGACAGGTGATAACATGTTAACACTTCAATGATTTGGTAGTTTACCTTAATCTTTTTAAGGTTAAAAGGGAGAAAACAATTCCGTATATCCTACCCCAACCAGAAAAACTTTCAACTGGAAATATCATAAACGGTAAACTGCATTCTTCTTAGTTAGGTTTTCCAGTTTGGTTGTTATCCCATATGAGTCTGCAAATAAATAATTATAAATCACATTCAATACCGCTCATTCTCTCCAACAATTATATGGAAATGGTAAATGAACATGCAAGTCCAAGGTAATGGGAAACAGAGAATTGCTGTCTGAAAAATGTTTTTGTTTTAGTCTGTAATAAAAGTAGCTAAGTAGGAATAACTTACATTTACAGCAGCAACATATGAATGAAGTTCAGTAATCACTCTTTTAGCAATTCAACCTGTTCCTTGAGAGTTCCATAGATAGTATCAACAATATCGAGTAGGAAAAGATCAGACCCATGCTTTGCCAACAATGAAATTCCTACAGGAAGATTGCCATGTACTCCGAGGGGTATGTTCACCTGTTGGTTAAATCAATTCTTAAATGGAGTGAAGTCAAAACTATTATTAAAATTTGTTTTTCTGGCTTCTTCCATATTTGGGATGGGGAGAGTGGAGAGAGAGATGAGACCTGGCAAAATCCTGATACTCCGGCAATGGATAGTAGACTAAAAGCTTTGACACGAAAGGCTTCCAAGCTTGTGGGGTCTGTCTGTAGCTTCGGTGGAGGTCCAGGAACTGTGGGGATAGCAAGGATGCCAGCATCCCCTAGGAGTGCAGCAAGAGCTTCTTTTAGTTCAGCCTTTACAGAGAGGCAGACATCAATCTTTTCATCTGTGGTCTTGAGGGCTTCCCAAACTCGTTCTGCTATTCCAGGACCTAAATTGGGCTTAATTGTACTAACCCATTCACCATGGTTCTCCTTGAATTCGTATCTGTACAACACCATGCTAATTACTAATTGAAGTATACCAAAATGAAATTAATATTATATATATATGAAAAAAGAAAGGAACACTGAGTAGGCTTAAAACAAACAGAAAAAGGAAATTAAATGTTTAAAACCTATAGAGATTTCTACACCTTTGAAGCAATCGCATAGCATTTGAAAGAGCTAATAGCGAGGGTATGTATTCTTGACCTTCAGATCCCTGGCTCATGAAAGGTTTCAAACTTGGAACATTTTCCTTAACAATTTCTCCCAGATGAGTGTGTTTAATGGTCTCGCCTGCATACCTTAGTCATCATCTAATTTAATTTTCTCTGTGGCAACATACAAAGTAAAGACATGAATCAACTTACGTCCATATAACTTTTCTATTGAATTTATCAGAGCTTTTGTGAATTGGCTGCCCCAAAAGTCTTGAAGCTTGAAACAATCCTCTGCAATGATAATTTGATTAGGTCTAACAGGAAGCAAGTCTTGAGATGGCAATAAGACTTTCCCAACTCGCTTCAAGATTGAAGAATCCCTAGCAAACCATCCTGAAAAATAAATTAATTAATTGATCAGAAATTACAAGGTAGAATACTGCATAATAATACACTAAATTCACAAATATGTGAAGGAATTAAGCTAGTTGAAGGGGCCATACATGATACATATACAATTTCACTACCCTTTACCATTGATTATTTAAAACAAAAAAGACATCTATTGATAATTTCTCACCAACTGTATCAAAACTTTGTGCCATTGGAATAACTCCAGTAGTTGAAACAACTCCATGAGATGGTCGGATTCCAAATATCCCACAGTATGATGCAGGGACTCTTACACTTCCCCCCGTGTCGGTACCTATGAAGGATGAAATATTTCATGACCAATAAACTCCAACACATTCTATACACAGAATTTCCAATGACATGAACACTACCTAAGGAAAAGTCCACTAGCATTGCACCGACAGCAACAGCAGATCCACTAGAAGACCCTCCAGGAACCCTATCTGCAGCACAAGGATTTCTGGGTGTCCCATAATGGATATTCTCACCATTTATACTGCCAAAGTATGAATTCCAATTACCTAATGCACAGCCTAAAAATAAACCAGGGCCTAAATGAATTTGTCAAACACAAGCATAGCCTCCCCAAATTATGCACAAATGAACTAGTGCAGACTCACTTGTCAAAAGTGAGCGCTTCGTCACTTAAACGCAATTGACCCTTCATCACCTTGCTTCAATGAAGCACTAGAAAACATATAAGTGCAACAAAGGCTTGCCTTTGTGTGAGGTGAGCGAATCCGGAACTCCGGAAGCGCAAGGCAAAGGACGCTTTTATCCAAAATGAGTTAACAGAATCTTCAAGGTAAACTTAGGGTTTGAATATAACATAACTTGTCCAAAACGAGCATAGGCATAGAACCAGTGATGAGGCAGCAATCAAGAAGCACTGGCTGCACTCCATAGAAAAGAACACTCCATCTCACCTCTGATTATTCTTTTCATCGCTATGGGCTTCTCTTCATTTCTTAGGCTATCTTCGTTGCTATGAGCTCTATCACTATGGGTCATATGTATCCCTTTGCTGCTCTTGCTTCGTTTCACCTCTACTACTTGAAGACTTTTTGGCATTGCTCCTAGAGAGTTTGTGTTGCCATGTTATTTTAAGATTATTCGTGGTTGGCTTTGTGTCCTTGGCACTTACATCTTCATTCCCAAGTGTCGTGTATAACACCATGTCTTCCGAAGCCATTTGGCATTGTTATCCTCTAGCCACATCTAATATTCTTTTGTAATTTCAAGTTAAATAGAGTGTCTTAATTCAAGTTCAGAACTTCTTGATGTTCCAGCTTGAGGGGGAATGTTGAATAATAGGAAACCTTAGTCCTGTTTCTAATAGGAGTGGCTTAGCCAAATATTCCTATAAATATACAATATCTATGCAAGTCAATATACAGAAACACTCAGAGAGACAATATATTATAATCTTTTATTATGAATACAATCCTATATTTTCTCTATTCTCTCTTTCTTTGGTTTCTCGCATATTTTGCTTTCGCATAATTGGTGGGCGATGGTTATTCACCACCTGCCAATTTTTCAATCCCTCAATTTCAACAATAATACTTAAAAGGATGCATAATCAAAGGAATGATTTGAGAACATTATTCAACAGTGATGAATTCCTAAATAGTCCATACTTAAAAGAAGTAGTTGGCATGGAATGTGCTAGAATTGTACAATTACCATCATTTTGGAATACAATTCTTGAGGCACTTAAAATCGGTGGCCCACATATTCATACGTTTCGGTTGGTTAACAAGGAGGTCAAGTCTGCTATGGGGTACATTTATCTTGCAAATGAATAGTTTTTTGGTATCCAACACGGCAGGCTGAGAGAAACCTCAATCGTTTGCATTCAAGGGCCTTCTTATGATGGATGGATGGTGAAGAATCCTCCTTTCCATTTGATTGTGGTAGAGATTTGAGATCGAATCCATTTCAAGAAGGGGAGGATGACACAAAGTCGATCCGAATGATAATAGCAAATAAACCTTCCCTCTCATTCACACCCAATGGAATATCTTGTCAACACTGGCACAACTTAGGAATTTTGAGCATATGTAGCGCATACAATGGTGGAATGAAGCGGTTCAAGACTCTTTGGAAGGCTAAAAGATTCAACTACAACTTTCATATTTTGAACATTCCAAAATTCAAAATGCATCACGGTCAAAATCAGGCTCAAAGTTGCTGTCAATGCACAATGGTGAGATTGCAGAAACCTGGGAAGAAGCATCACAGACCCATATGCATGGCCATCCACCACAGCGGCACATGCATGCACCACTGTTCCAAACCCAGTGCAACCTAATCCTATGGTAAATTGAAGCAAACAATCTGGGAAAAAGCCACAGCCAGTTGAATGGCTATGTAATTGACTGTGCACTCCTATGGCATTTGGCGAAGAAAACCTGGGCAACCTTGCAAAGCCAGAGGAACAGTCGTGCATCAACACTCTATTTTTTGTGTGATGCAATTTCCTTAAGTTTTAAGCTAGTTTTTTATACTTTATTTGCTTGTACTCTCTTATTTTAATATTTGTACCTAAGTTGGGCTATAAATACCCAACTTTAAAACTTTGTAATGGACTTTTAGCTATTTTGATGCATGGGATTTCATTTCACTCTCTCAAACGTAACTAGGGGTTTTCTTGGGTTGCTTAACCCCAAAACTTTACACCCTTGGAAGTTATCAAAGAGTTGGTAGGAGCGCCTCATGAGACTCATAACAGTCAACTCAGGAGGTAGCAAGCATTTCTCCCTACAAATTCATGAGGACTAGGGTGGTCCAAGCATTTTGATATCGGATCTAACGGCGGGTCTCGTTGAGTTCATATCAATATACTTGATTATGCAAATGAAGAATTAGTCTTCAATGATGAAGATAATTTGACTTGGGGGGACATTACTAAGTTTTCTGGTGCAGATGAGGCTCCATTTTCTCTTAGAAATAGCACAAACAAAAAGAGAAAGATAAGAGGGATAATTCAAAGGGGAAGGGAACAAAAAGTTTATTTGGACAAATGTGTTTGTTTAGCTATGATTCCAGGTAAACTAAACTAATTTTAGCTTAAAATTGCATGCAAAACATTTACATATCAAATAAAAATATTATAATTTGATGTTTGCTACTGTGTCACTTTTTGAACAAAAGCTATGCTTTGCACTTTGTGCTTTAAAGCGAGGCAGTGCCCCATTACTCTATTATGCTTTTTTCTTTAAAAAAAAAAAAAAAATTGAGTATAAAGAACATATCAAATGAGAAGAGGTAGAAAGGTTTCCTTGTGCATTCAAAGAATTGGGTTAACTTTCTTCTTTAATGTTACAAAGTGATCTTATTTAGGAGAGAGACCAAACAATCAATTTGAAATTTACCATCTATACCCTCAATGTTGCATCAAAGGCCAGTTGCTCATCTCATAACTATGAACAACTTTGTATAGTTATTCGGTTATTCCATTAATCAGAAGAAACTATTTTGAAAGCATACACAATTCTATTTCATTTTATCCAGGGAAAATAGGAGTTGGAGAAGTACCCAAATTGTTCTAAAATGTTAAAAATAATAATCTATCATATGGTAGATTTGCAAACCTGTATGCCATTTCATCCATGAAAGTCTTGCCAACACCGGTGGCACCTGCCTTTAGAAGATCCAAAATCACAGGTGCATTAGATGTTGCAGCAGAATGAGTCCTTGCCCAATCTGGATTCCCAAATCCAGTCACATACCCATTCACATCGAATCTAATACCAAAGTTGTGACCATTAATTCCAACAAGAACATACTTTATTCATTTCTTAATCTTGAAAGCACATGACAACATATTACAGAGTATTAAACAGCAAACACTTGAAGAACTATTGTTTTTATCTCTCTTTTCTTAATGCATAGAATCTATAATTAAACTACCTTGTATGAGTGAGAGTTGAGGAGACTTACATGTCTTTTACAGCAAAGGTGAGGCCATGTAAAGGAAGTTGTGGAGAAGAAGAGTTTGGTTGAAGTGTGAATTTGTCAATGAAAGCTCCATAATCATCTGAGACCTTTTCCATTCTTACTCCTTCAGTGTTCACTGCTCAATTCTTTATAGTAAGTACAATAAGCAGTATCAAACAATAAATTGCTAGCATTAGCATAATCTTTAAGTTGTAAACATATCAAAATAATACTAAAACAGAGGGAGTATGTGTTACTGCTTCCTTCTTTGTAATGGCAAGTACAGTGAATTATATAAACAATAAAAATAAAAATACTATGTATAACACCCTCTTAACATCAACAAGGTATATCAGAACACTCAGCAGCATTTCTTAGGCAGTTCTTCCCTCTAGAATACAGGTAGAAGGAAAACATTGGCATAAAAAAATAACCAATCGTTAGCAACCTTAAATTTAAAAAGGAAAAACAGCAGACCTTTAGCAAATTAGCAACAACCCTTAATGAATGTTCTATTTCACAAATAATCAAAGCTCACACACAAAACCTTCAAGAAATATAAAATACGGGAAATTGAAAATTGCAAGATGCTTGAATGCTTGATAGAAATGCGCATACCAGAAGTCCAGAGCACGAAAAGCTTGACTGCCGTGAGGGTGGTGAAGCCGCCGGCGGCGGGAGAGAAGGCGGAGAACAGAGTACGCTGCAGTGTTGCACTGCTGTGTGGCGTTAGTTGAATATTAAGTGGATATTTGTGGGTCCTACATATCCAAGGTCAACACTTAATACGGGAGTTAATACCATCTAGGGTCCTCCCGAGTATAGTGGTCCGTTTAGTCCTAAACTTTCAAATTACCACCCATGGTTCTTCGATTTTCAAATTGTTACCATCCGTAGTCCAAATTAACTACCTATGGTCCTTCGACTTTTAAAATTTAACCAGTCGCGATCCTCCTAAAAGGACCATTGGTGGTTAAAACTTGATAGTTGAAGGACCATGCTAGTTAACTTGGACCACGGATGGTAAAAATTTCAAAGTCAAAGGACCATAGGTGGTAATTTGAAAGTTTAGGACTAAACATGACAAAACCACTATATTCAGAGGACCCTAGATTGTATTAACTCCTTAATACGGAGTACATGATTTAGAATTAATTCACAAGCAAAATAGTATGTGTACACTACTAACTTTTACTTTGCATATAATTTTGACGTAAACACTTGTATTGAGATCTGAAAAAAAATAGTTTATGAGTTCACCAAGTAATATTTGATACACTGTCGGTGTATAGATGCTATACACTAGCGGTGAATGAAGAAATCTCGATTACCGTTCAAAATGGGTGGTTATAGATTTGAACCCGACTTAAATTCTTTGCTAAAGATAGATAAAATGTACTCCGTATAGAGAGTTTAGAAATCCGTGGTTTGAAAAAATAAATTTTAACTATTTATATTTGAGAGAGAAAAAAAATCTACAAAAGTTCTAAATATAAAAGAGTTTATAAAAGTTTACTTTTCAAAAACCAATAAAATTTTAAAGAATTTTTAAAAATTTAAATCAAATACTAATGAATTTTCAGAGACTTAAAAAATCTTAATCAAATATCACTAGATTTTTAAAAACTTTCTAAAAGTTTGACTCGAGTACGTTCAAACTTTTAAAGTTTATAAAAGTCTTTAAAAATCTTTACAATTTCGGATCGAATGCACACCCTTAAATAATAATAATAATAATAATAATAATAATAATAATAATAATAATAATAATAATAATAATAAAATTGCAATACTGTGAAATCTATAAAAATGTCATTTGAGCTTAATAATTAACTGAATGCAATCGTTATACCCTGCACCACGGTACACAGTGCACTGTGCGCCCCGCGCCTCCCAAAACGACGTAGTTTTGAGAGGCGTGGTAGGAAGTTGACATGATTATGTATATTTGTTTATACAATTATGTATATTTTTTTATTATACACATTTTTTATACAATTATGTACATTTTTTTTTATACAATTATGTACATCCAAATTAGGAAATTTTTGTGTATTATGTTAAGAGTTGATGTGTATTATGTTAAAAGTTTATGTTTATTATGTATTATGTTAGATTATGTGTATTATCTCTTAAAAAAAGAGTATGTGTATTTTGTTATATAATTATGTACATTCATGTATACACTTATGTGTATTCTAGTATAACATTATGTACATTTTTGAACATGAGATTTTTTTTTAAGGAAAATTAACTGACAAACGCTGGGTAGCGAAATTTCAAAAAATAAAAAATAAAAAATTGAAACGACGTCGTTTTGTATCTGGGCGCACAATACAACTCGCACCGTGGTGCAGGATATAAATTGCCAACTGAATGACTAAAATAAATACTTTGATATAATTGATGAATTAAAAGTAAAATCTTCTTCTTTTCACTATTTGTAGGCTACAACACCATCAAAATTTGAATACTTATATCATGAATCAGTGTTTATATAGCAATATGAACTTAGTCATAATAAAAATATGTATAAAGCTATAAAGATTTTTTTTTTTTTAACCACAAAAATTCTTGACAATATATCATTTAAATAAAATCCTTTTTATTCATTGGTTACCTAAATTAGCCAACTCCACCCCAAATTATAAAAAAAAAAATAAAAATAAAAAATCAACTTATTTATCAAACATGAATTATATATTATTACACTAAATGGTGAAACAGTTTGGCATATGTAACTTTATCCAAAAAAATATATATCAAATAATCCTAACATGTCTCCCTAGTTTTATTTTTTTGTACTTAAATCTATTTTTCTCATTTTTTTTTGTAAAAAAAAAAAAGAAAAAAAAAAGAAACAATGTACAAAAAGTATATCATTAAAAAGTTTTAATTGAGATATTTTAAATAACACTATATTGATTTTTTATCAATTTTTTTTAAATAATGGTCAAACTAACTGAACTACATGCAAAACAAAAAAACAAAAAACAAAAACAAAAAAACAAAAAAACAAAACAAAACAAAACAAAAAACAAAAAACAAAAAAAAACACCAAAACAAAACAAAATTACAATTGGATCATTCAATTTTTTTAAAAAAATGTAATTAACTCATTGAATAAATCAATTTCGTGCAATTAGATACAAATTTTAATTGGTACTCCAAGTAATGTAATTGTTAAATTGTGGACTAGGATCCACCAGATCATAGTAGACCATGTCCAAATTATATGCATTTAATTAACATATTAAGTACATTCAATTTTCAAAAAATATATATATATTCAATTAATAAATTATATACCTATTACATTTAACATATTTTGTATCTGTAATTAATAAATTATATATCGAGTTAATACCCAAAATCGTCCTCGACTATAGTGATTTTTCTCAATTTCGTCCTAAACGACTTTGGTGACCTAATATCGTCCCAGACTTTTGTGTTTCGCTCAATTTAGTCCCAGATTTTTGTATTTTTGCTCAATTTAGTCCTTCATTTGTTATTCTGTCCATTTGGTGTTAAATAAATAGACAATTCAGTAATTTTAATATTGGCATCTCTTTACTCATAGACATGTAAACTGCGAAATCTTTTTTTTTTTATGAATTACTCCCAGAATTACTCCTAAAACTGCGAATATAAAATTTGATTTGCAGGTCCAGGAGTAATTCTGGGTGTAATTCGTACAAGAAAAAAGAATTTCGCACATCACAAGTTGAAAGTAAAGAGAGATCAATATTGGCATTACTGAATTGTCCCTTTATTTAACACCAATTTGACGAAATAACAAATGGAGGACTAAATTGAGCAAAACACAAAAGTCTGGGACGATATTAGGTCACCAAAGTCGTTTAGGACGAAATTGATAAAAACCACTATAGTCGAGGACGATTTTGGGTATTAACTCATTATATATCTATACAAGTGGCTTGTGGTCCATTGGTATTAGGTTGCTCCCCTAAGTAGGAGGTGAAAGGTTCATACTTCACTGGAGGCAAATAGTGTGTATATGTAAGGTATCCCTTCCTTTATAAAAAACAAATAAATTATATATCTATCATAATTAATGTATTATATATATGCAGATAACATATTAAGTCACTTTGTTTAATAAATTATATACCTCTTATAATTAACATATTATATATCATTTTATTTATAAGTACATAATATTTAATTGAATGTCGTTTTGCACTAGAATCTACAATGCAAGGTAGACTTACGTTCATTGTATAATTTGTGCAAGTGCTTATATGATAGTTTTTTTTTTTTTTTTTCTTTTTGAAAGCAATATACCAAGTCTGAAATAAAAACATTCGAAATAAAAGGAGGAATAGGCGACCATTTCATACAATCTAACAAAGAAAAGGAGGAATAGGCAACCATGGAATAGGCAACCATTTCATACAATCTAACAAAGAAAAGGGGGAATAGGCGACCATTTTATACAATCTAACAAAGAAACGACATGCATCGCAAGTGAGTGAGTGGCCGGATTCACATATCGTTTTATAAAGAGAAAGTTAAATTTCGAAATTCTCTAGATAAAGCATTAATATCTCTCACCAAAGAGAAAGTTAAATTTCGAAATTCTCTAGATAAAGCATTAATATCTCTCACCAACAACGACATGTCACTCTCCATAGCCTGACTCAGAACAAGCTTCTTCTTTTTTTAGTGTACCCAGGATTTTCACCGTCAAATACAATAACTAATTCTCTCACTGAATTGTAGACACATCTTTTGAATGAGACAATTAACCTAAAGATTTAAGACTGCTCTATACCCAAAACCAAGAATCGAACTCTTAACCTTTTAACACATAATAACAAGCTTCTTTAGTAATAATAATACTAACTTATTTCTGTTCATGCTGAAGAACAGCAATTACTATCTGCAGTAAAATACACTCCTACCAACAATTTATACTTTTAACTCAAAACAACTTCTAAGCAACATTGGCAACTTTTTTTGGCTGCATATCAATATCTCACTACATCTTATTCAATAAACAAATAATGAATATCCTTTGCTTATTCCATTTACTTCAACTTTCACTTCCTACCTACCTCTTGTGGCTATAATAGATATTATCCAATAAGAGGTGCCTTAGCTTCTGTCACCGGGAACACGAAAAACCCAGAAGCAGCAATGGAACTTGGCTCTCCCAGAACCCGCAGAATCCATTACTTACTGAGTTCTTGCGACATTACAACTATGAGCTCTTTAATCTTCTCTGGTTGCCGACGATAAGCCTACTGAGTCCAAGAACGAGGACCCAGGTTGATGCAGAGATCTTTTCCTTTATCATTAAGAGCAGCGCAGAACTTAGCACCGTCTTCAAGATTTGCGCTTCTATTCCCTTGAAGAAACCGAGAATCCCTTCTTTTCTAAGGATAGCACAAGCAACACCTAGAAGTGTTTTACGTGGTTTGCGCTTGGGTTTCTTCTCGTCATCATCACTTGTGTCCGCAACTTGAATCATGACTTTGCACCTAAAAATAGGCGTTTACGATGAAATTGGTTAGATTAAGCCTAAACAACAATGTCAATTAAAATTGATTGGGTAACATTTGTGTGAGACCATCTCACAGGTCTCAATTCGTGAGACGGGTCGGATCTTTGATTAACGGGTCAAATTTTTTATTAAATGGGCCAGATCTTTAACCTCATTAATCAAAGATTCAACCCGTCTCACAGATTGAGACCCGTGAGACAGTCACACAC